GAGTGACCATGGACCAGTTATTTGACCGCCTTGAACCCTGGGAGATGCGTTGGCCTTTCGGGACCATCAGGGTGTAGGATACCGTGGATGTAAAACATTTAGCAGGGCATCCCATGCAGGTCTAAGTACAAGAAATGGCCATGATCGTTACTTCCACAACAAGATTGTAAACAAGCACTGGCAGGGGCGGCTCTAGGAGCGCACAGGGGGCTGGGAAGGACAGTAATGAGCTGAGCAGGAGGGCTCCAATGAGGCTGCTGGGGCGCCTGGGGGGCTCAGTCGGTTAAGGGTCCAACTTCCGCTCAGGTCATGATCTCACAGTTTGTGACTTCGAGCCCCACATTGGGTTGTCTGCTGTCAGCACAGAGCCCGCTTAGGATCCTCTGTTCCTCTCTCTCTCTCCCTGCTCCTCCCCACTCGTGCTCCCTCTCTTCCCCTCCCCCTACCACTCTCTCAACAATAAATAAACATTAAAGAGGGCAGCTAGTGTCCTGCCCAGGACCCACCATGCTGAGGGCTGGCGGTGCTGGGCTGCTCTGGTATGGTGGTACATATTTCAAATTTCACCCTAGGGTGAGGGCCTGGGTTGCCTCTGCCACTCTTTTCTGGAAGAAGCCTGAAACCTAAAAATGCACTGGGGTTTACGTTTTTCCAACTTCTGATCTCTTCATTCAGAGGAAATAGTGGGAAAGGGGAGCTTGCTTAGAGGGAAGACGGTGCACGGCTCAGCCCTAAGCTTTCTGGGAGATCCTTAAAGGGCTGAGTTCCCCCTGACCATGCCCTCCTGCCAACAGTCATGACTTGTGCTGACCCTGGTGAGATCACCAACGGGCACCGTACCACTTCGGACGCTGGCTTCCCTGTTGGCTCCCATGTCCAGTACCGCTGTCTGCCCGGGTACAGCCTGGAGGGGGCGGCCGTACTCACCTGCTACAGCCGGGACACAGGCACACCCAAGTGGAGCGACCGGGTCCCCAAGTGTGCCTGTAAGTCTGCGGACACCCTGGGAAGGGTGGCTGGGTGGCCTGCTCAGTAGCGAGCTGGCCTGTGACTGACGTGTGCCCTGCAGTGAAGTATGAGCCGTGCCTGAACCCAGGGGTGCCAGAGAATGGCTATCAGACGTTGTATAAACATCACTACCAGGCGGGCGAGTCTCTGCGCTTCTTCTGCTACGAGGGCTTTGAGCTCATCGGCGAGGTCACCATCACCTGTGTGCCCGGTCACCCATCACAGTGGACCAGCCAGCCCCCACTCTGCAAAGGTGCCTGGGCAGACAGGGCAGGAGGGGGCGCAGCAGTATCTGGGGAGTGACAGGGCTGGGAAAGTCAGGAAACAGATTTGAGACCAACAGGGGCCCTGCCGAGCTCCCCGTTCACCTCCTGTGGGCTCTGACCCTCACGGGTATGATAGAATTGTCCTAAGGGATGCAGCAGAGGGGGCCTTGGTTTGGAAGTCCCGTGCCCTCTGGATAAGTCTCAGTTTCCCTATTTTTGACAAACTCTATAGACCTGATGAATTTAGAGTGCCCAGGAGCCCTGAACTTGTCGGGGTCTGGAAAAGGAGGAAGAAGGCCCTGACTACTCCTGCCACGCCCGCACCAAGGGAAGGAGTTTAGGTTGAGCAGAGGGCAGAGAGAACCAGGCTGTCCGGCCCAGCCCCACTGGGCTCCCGGCCTCTACCCAGCCTCCTTCCCTCCCTGGCTCAGACCCCGTCCCCTCCCCCTCCTCTCCCTGCAGTGGCCTATGAGGAGCTCCTGGACAACCGAAAACTGGAAGGTCAGTGAGGGCACAGTTGGAGAACCAGGCCTGGCCGAGTCGGGAGGGGCAAGGCAGAGGCCGGGGGCAGGAGGCCAGGCCCCGGAGGGGTGAGGCCCAGGCTTCAAGGCCCAGGGCAGGAGGCTGGGAGAGCCCAGGGCTGGGCCCAACCCCAGCTCACTGGCCTCTCCTCTCCCTAGTGACCCAGACCACAGACCCGTCGCGTCAGTTGGAGGGTGGGAACCTCGCTTTGGCGATCCTGCTGCCCCTCGGCTTGGTCATTGTCCTCGGCAGTGGCGTTTACATATACTACACCAAGTAAGTACCCTACTCGGGGAAGCTGCGAGCCAGGGCAGACGTCCTGCCTGCCTGGCACAGAAGCCTGGGTGAGGGGGGGTTGGGGGCTCACCTCTCGATAAGCCCCTCTATCTCCTCCCTTTCCCAGGCTACAGGGAAAATCCCTCTTCGGCTTCTCGGGCTCCCATTCCTACAGCCCCATCACTGTGGAGTCAGACTTCAGCAATCCACTGTATGAAGCTGGGGTGAGCCCTTCCCCTACCCCCGGAGTGCCACATCTTTCAGCTCTCCCAGGACTCCATTACCTTCTCTCAAAGTCTCTGTAATACCTGTCCTGGGAATTTCAAACTCAGCTGCCTACAAAGGCCACGCCAATGAACAAAGCAAGTCAGGTGTGAACAATAGAGGGTGGTGAGGACTGTGGCTAAATGGAGACCTTGCGGCCCATCTGGTCCTTAGTGGAGACTCAGGCGCAACTGCCAGATCTTCCAATTATTCAAGACAATCCAGAAACTCTGATTTGTATGTGATTTTAAGATACCATAAGAGAAACCAAACACTGACGGGCTGTTCCCACCCCATGGCTCCCAAACCTCATGATCAATGTTATTTTTAAAAAGCCCACGGTCTTTCCCCTTCCTTGTGGATGGCCCCTCTCACTTTGTTCCCTCCCCCACCCCCTCCCACTCCAGCAACTGATCCCACCTCTCTGTCTCCAGGATACACGGGAGTATGAAGTTTCCATCTGAACCCCAAGACTAAGGCTGCAGGACCCAGGACGCCCCTCCCCTCCCCCTCCTGGGCAGGAGGACCTTGCCTCTGGCTCCCTTCCTCCCAGATGTGTAAATAGTCTCCTGGTCCCACGAGGGGGCTTTGATGGCCCTGGGGACCTTACAGTAAATAAACCAGCATCCTGCCGCCCAAGCCTCCTCTTCTCAGTTGCCAAACAAGGGGCCTGCCCCTCCCCTCTGGCCCTACTGGCTTTTGGACCCTGGGAGGGGAACTCTGGCCCCCCTGCAACTCCTGGGACCCCTCCAGCCCAGGGCACCCCCATCCCCACCCCTCCCCTGCCAAAGGACTGACTGAGAGCTCTGCCCTTCCCTTGGCCATGAAGCCTCTTCCCAGATGCTCTGGCCCCAGGCTTAACCCCTGGGCTCCGGAGGGTCAGGGTCATAGGAAGAGGGATGTAGGGGGGAAGCAGGGACAAGGCCCCTACCCACTTCATGCCATCTCCCAACCCATGATCTCCCCGCCTTTGCTTATGGATTTTTGTTTTTGAGCAATAAACAGAAAACCACCATTTGTAACTGGGCTGGTGGGGTGTGGGAAGGTGGGTCACAGAGTGCTGGACACAGTGAGGGTGGCCTGGGGAAGACGGAACAATTTGGAAAAAAGATGGGAGTTCTACGATGGGGCACAGGGCAAGGGCAAGGGGGCTGCCTAGGGGTCAAAAACCCTCCATGGAGGCTGAGCCCCACCTCTGGGCCTTGACTCTCTCCTCCAGGGCTTGGTGCTTCTAGGCTCTTCTAGCCAGGAGATGGTGGACAGTAGGCAGGAGGCAAACAGCTCTCTGTTTATGACCATTTTACCTAAAATGCAAGCTCCTTTTGAGAATATTTGTATTCAAGTACACCATTCTTTTGTCCCTTCATCTGCTGTTACCTGTCTAAGTAATGGTCAAATGTGTAGCATTTCACAAAGAATGAGCTTGTTTTGTACCCTATGAGGTTCCTTTTCCAAAATACCCACTTTTGAACATTATAAGGAGTATTATAGCCCATTTGTCTAAAAAGTCTCCAAATTAATTGAATTTTACTTCATTCAAATTTTATATTTAAATATAATTAAACACTTTTAGGACACTCAAAAGGACACTGAAATACTCAAAAGGAGGTTGAATTTTGGGAGAACATGATGTAGGCTGATCTTGAAAATAAGAGCCTGCATTTCTGGGCATTTATTCTGTGCCAGGCACTGGGCTAAGCACTTTGTATGCAGTACGTATGTAGGCCCTCCCCTACGAGGACCCTGTGAGACAGGGACAATTATTCCCATTTTTCAGACAAGAAAACCGAGGCTCAGAGATGTGAATGGACTTTCACATGAGGCTCCAATAAGTGACCAGACCAGATTTATTAAGTTTCTATTTGTCTATTTATTTTGAGAGATACAGAGACAGCACGAGTGAGAGAAGAGAAGGGGGGGGGAGAGGGAGAGGGAGAGACAGAATCTCAAGCAGGCTGCACGCTGGCAGCACAGAGCCTGGTGTAGGGCTCCCTCTCATGAAACTGTGAGATCATGACCTGAGCCAAAACCAAGAGTCAGATGCTTAACTGACCCAGCCACCCAGGTACCCCCAGACTCAGATTTAAATGCAAACTCTGCAAAACTGACCATACTCCCTTCTGGGTAGTAACGGGTGTGACATGTTCCCCTAGGCGGGAGGCCCCAGAGCGCGGGAGGAGAGGCCTCAGCACTGCCATTAGTGGCAGAGGTGGCTCCTCAGAAGGAAGGGTGGATCCTCTCAGATGCCAGAGGCCTAGACCTGAAGGTGTTGGGAGTTTGGCTACGAGGCTGGGTTTGGATTCATGAGCTCATCTCTGCCAACAGGTTGACTGATAACAGTTGGTTAACTGCCCAAATTAAAGCCATTCCAATAATATGGACTATTCTGTTCCACCAATGTGCCCACACATCTGGCAAGACAAAAAAAAGGAGCAGGAGGAGGGGGAGGGGAGAGGAAGTGGGGAAGGGAGAGAGGGAGGAAGGAAGGAAGGGAGGGGAGGGAGGCAGGGAGGGAGGGAGGAAGGAAGAAGGAAGGAAGGAAGGAAGGAAGGAAGGAAGGAAGGAAGGAAGGAAGGAAGGAAGGAAGCAAGCAGGGGGTGGGGGGTCGGAAGCCAGGGCCACCCTCATAACCCCACCCCAGAGAAGCCACTCCAGAGCACCACCTGGGTTGGGAGGAGGGAAGGACCTCTGCCTTTTTATTAAAGCCTTTGATTTCTGGTGATGTTCTTGCCAGTTGAGGGTAGAGAGGTGTGTGATGGTTCCTGAACACCTAGGAGGCTTCGATGGTGATACTGCTCATGACCAGAAGTCCCCAGCAAAGTGACGTGTTAATGACTTGTGAAAGAGGAGCTCTGATGCACGTTCTAGAAGGACAGAACAGGGGAGGCCCTGAGAGGCCAAGAGTGGCACCAAAGAGGGCTGGGGTCATCCTCCGGATGTTAAGCTGCTAGGCAGAGCTCTCTAGAAAAGCAAAAGAGCCTTCTGATTCTTTGGGCCCAAGGCTCATGTCTTCTTATCCTTCTGTCCTTCAGCTATCCATCCAACCCCTATCCCCCACTTACCTATTTATCGATCCACTAGTCACCATTTACCCATTCATCCATCTATCCATCCACCATCCATCCATGTATTTATCTATCCACACATCAACCCATGATTCTCCAACAATCTTTCTACTCATCTGTCTGCCCATCCACCTATCCCTCATTCATCCATCTACCCACTCACCTCTCTTCCACCTAATCACTCAGCCCCCATTTAAACTTCTCAAAAGCAGTGAGTCTATCTTGCTCACTTCTAGACTCCAGCCCTTACAGCAGTGCTGGCATATAGTAAGTGTCCAGTCAATATTCAGTGAATTTACCTTTCCATTTATCCATTCATCCATTTGCCTACCCTCTCCATCCACTCACCCATTCCCCCACTCAACATTTTGATCACCTACAATGACCTATATTTCAGGGGGCAATTCAAAGATCTGTAGGTTCCATGTTCTTTCTTAAGGAAGGAAAAGTCTATTGGGACCATGGGGTGCTGCCCAGGGGATAAGATGGTATTGGCTCAGGGTGAAATTCTTAATCACATACCCTTTGGGAAGAAGCAGGAAACCACTGTACAGGCAGGTAGGGCCCTTACAGAGAGCATCTTGTCCAAGGCTCGCATTTGACACATGGGGAGGAAGGAAGCAACTTGCACAAGGCTAGCTATCAGGTTGATAGCAGATTAGCTATTAAGACCCAGGGTTTTTCTACTACTTCAAGCTGCTTCTAATACTGAAGGCCAATTGGGAGAGCTCAAATGTCCCAAAGGCACTAGAAAGCCAGCTCCCTGAGGATAAGAACAGTGGATTGTTCTCAGCTCCCTTATGTCTCTGGTCTTGGTCATGAACATTTGAAGGAGCAGCCCCAGAGAAATGACTATCCCTAAGACCTGGTGGACTGGGCACAAACTAGACCCTCAATAAATATTTGCTGTCAGTTCCTTTTCATGACACCCTCCCCCCTCCTCCTCCCACTCCTTACACGGAGAGACTTCAGGGCTCTGCCCTTGGGGTCCTCTTCTTTCTTACTCTGCATAACCCCTACCTCTGGGGACAGCCACACATCCTTCGACTGCCAACTCCCTCCTAAATCCAATTTCTATCACCAATCCAGATGTCTCCAGTGAGTTTTGAAGCCGTATTTCCCACTATCTACACAATATTTCCACTTGGGAGTGGAATCTGCCCAAAGGTGGGAACATGGCTGCCATATTCCGGGAAGAATGAGAAGGCGGGCATGACTGGAACAGAGGCAAACAATGGAACAGTTACAGGCAATGAGGTCAGAGAGACAATGGGGTGGGGGAGGAGAGAGATCACGTAGGGCCTTGCAAGCCACTCAAGGGCTTTGGCTTTTACTCCGAAATGGGGAATTGTTGTGGAGTTCAGAGCAGAAGCATGAGGTCATCAGACTTAAGTTACCTAAGTCAGAAACCTGGGGCGGGGGAGAAGGGGTCATCTGATTTCCTCTTTTATTTCCCCTCCCTACCATTTCTAATCAATTACCAGACTCAGTCTGCCGGGACTTTATTTCTCACATCTATTCCTCTTCTCATCTATACTATCACTGTGACAATTCAAGACCTAATCATCACTGGCTCAGTCTCTTGGCATAATTCCTAACTGGCCTCCACCTCCGATCTTCCCTTTCCAGTTCATTCTCCCCATTAACCACCAGAGTGACTGATCTAAAATTGCAGCCTCCCTTGCTCAAATCTCTTCAGGGACTCCTGATCTTAATAAGGCACACATAAGGTCTCTGAGTTGTCCCTGGCTACCCTGCCTGCATACTCCACCCCCTCTCTCGCAGGACCCACCCTCTGCCTTGCCCTAATCATCTGTACACTGTACATCTGTACACTCCCATCTCACTCTACTGAGAGTCACTCACCTTTGTGTCTTCACTCATGCAAGCCCTGACCAACCCATTTTTCCCCCTTAGAACCCATTTTTTTCAGGAATACCCTGACCAACCCATTTTTTTCCCTAGAAGATTCTTTCTTTAGGTGTCACCCCCTCCAGGAAGCTCCATGATTCCTTTCCTGAGGCTGGGATAGGAGCTCTTCTTGTTTCCACTTCTGTAACAGGCACTTATACACATTATGTTGTAACTGACCATCTACTTGACTGGTCCCACACTATACTGTGAACTCCTTGGGGGCAGAGACCGTATCATTCATTTCTGGGTCCCAAACTCCTGAAACAGGGACTTGCATATCCTGTGACCCCTACGTGTTCGGTTAATAGGGAATGGCCTTGTCATTCATGGACTCAGTACTATACCTTGTCACGAGGGGACGGCAGCAGGTGTGCCTTGGTGCGGGTACGGTTTCTGTCAGAACTAGAGATGGAAGACGGAAAGGGGAGGACTGAGGAGTCTGACTTTGAGGATCAGATCAGTCCATTAAAACCATGGACTTCATGGTTTTACATCCCCACCCCCACCCACCCTGCTAGGATGTTGTCAAACCCTCTCCCCCCTCCAGGCTCCTTATCCTTCTCCCAGGACAAAAGGCATCTATCTCCCTTGAAGCCTCACTCACCGGGTATCAGTGCCTTGGGTCTTGAAGAACGCTGGAAGTAGAAGCCTCAGTCAGAGAAGTTACTACCCCCATAGCCAGAAAGAGACGTGGTTAGGGAGGAAGGTGCTGAGGTGATTCCTGGCCAGCAGTGGGGAGTGGGTACTGGGTGAGTTGTGGGGGGGAGCGCTGAGCAGTCCAAGGGCGGGCTGTGAGATGGAGGAGACAGGCACCAATTGCTGGAGAGCTCAGCTGTGGATGGGAGGGGTCTGGGATTGGAACTAGGGGTATGGTAGGGTCTTTGGACACAGTGGTTCTGGAGGTGGGGTCACCGTGTTTGGATATCTGAGTCCCTTGCTCTTGCGTCTGTTTTTCCTTGGTGGGCACAGGGTTCATGTGGTAGCCAGCGGTAAACAAGGCCTCATCGGTAAGTTCTGTGCTGATCTGGGTCAGGAATTCCTCAGAACGGGATAATGAAACCTGCAAAGGGGGAAATCAGAGAGACTCAGCCTGGAGTCCTGGGTCTGCGCACTCCCGGGCTGGGGGCTCTGGGTCTAAGGAGTCTGGTACTCGAGGGCTGAGTCTTGAGATTTGGCAGAGAAGGGCCTGGAAGGGGGAGAGGGGGTTGCGGGTGGGGGGGGGGGAGGAGTGTCTTTGAGGACCTGAGGGCCTATTCCTGGGGGCTGAGGGCTCAGGGTTGAGGTTAGCGTCTCAAGGCGGGAGACCCTAACCCCTGGCCTAGGAGCTCTCCCCTTCATCTCACCCCCATGCTCGCCGGACCTCCACCCAAGGAGGTTGCAGCCTGGGACATCTTGCTGCCCTTTTTCTCCTCATTCCTGGTAGGTGTGGACGCCATCCTCCTGGGAACTCCTGGCGGAGTCCGTGTTAGGTTGAGAAACCAGCCCACTTTCCCCAGACCCATCCCACCACCGTTCTTTGGGGCCAGATTTAAATAAGGCCTTTAGGTGAACCATCCTGCGGTCTCAGCTCTCTCCCTGAGGGGGGAAAAATCCTTGCCTTAAACCTTCCTGGGGGAGGGACTGGGGTGGGACCGCTCACAACAATCCTCTCCCTACCCCTACTTCTCCCTGGGACACTCTCCTTCCTCCCACCCAAGGCCCTTCCCAAAACAAGACAGCTGGCTTGCCGCCCCAGACCTGGCAGAAGAGTTGAAGTCTTGGGCAGAGGTAAACAGGGAGGGCCAAGGAGCTCCTAGTTAGGTCTCAGGGGACGGGGAGTAGGAGCTGGGGAGGAAGGTTGGAAAGAGGGGGGCCCGGGGTGGTGCAGCTACCCGTTGCTATAATAAACGGTGTCTGCGGACATTCCTCAGCCCCGTTGCCAGGATATTAGGGATTCTAGAACCAAAGGCGGGGGCCGGGGTGGGGGTGGGGAAGAGGCATTTTCTTAGGATGTCGCATTCGCTCCCCTGGTTTCCACTCCACCTTCTGGGTCCCTCCTTGGGGATGCCCAGCCCAGCTCCAGAACTCTGAGAAACTTTGGACGGTCACAGGTGATGCCTAGGACCTAATCCTCCTACCACTAGGGGCACCCAAGAAGCAACTCTGCCCTCGGCCGCCTTCCAACCTCTCTAGCCGTCCTTCTCACTCCCCGGAGCCTGCGGGTGCAAAGGCGGCCCGAGGGAGGGGCGGGGAAGAAACCATGTGGGTTGTACTAAATAACCTTGTCTCTGGGGGAGGCGTAAATCCAGAAGGGCGGAATGTTTTCTCCTTGTCTTCATCTCCAAGAAGCTATACTCTCCGCAGAGAATAAAGTAGAAGCAATTCATGTAGGCCTCCTTTTATTTTGACCTCTTCTTCTCGGTTTCCCCCTCGGCGCCGATGGCTCCCTGCGCCTCTCCTCCCTCTGCGCTTTGGTACGCGCCGATGGAAAGGGGCGGAGGGAGGAAGAGGAAAAGGAAGCGGGCAGGTCTTAAAGGGGCCGTACCATTTTTAAGGTTTATTTATTACTATATTTTTCTCCTCCAGTTTTGCTCGGCTGGGCCCAGCTTGGGTGGTCAGGGCGGCCGCTGAAGGCGCGAGGGCCTGTCCCCCGGGGAGGGCGGTGTGTTCGCGCCCCGGCGCCGGGCGCACCTTTGGGTCAGCCCATGCTCCCGCGGGCGGCGAGCTCTAACACCTGGGGCGGGGCGGGGGCAGCGGGGACTTGCGCGCTGTTGGCGCGGCCGCTGTGCGGGACCCGAGGGTGAGGCAGCGGGGCGGGGCTGGGACACAGTTGCTGCCTCCTGATCGGGCCCGGGGCTGCAAGGGGGCCGCCGCGATGCCAGGCGAAAATATCTTCCTGTTTGTGCCTAACCTCATCGGTGAGTGCTGCCCGCGGCTCCGGGCCGAACGGGAGGGCGAGGGGCCTCGGGCAGGGTCTCTGATTCCACCCTGTGCACCCCCGTCCGTCCCAAGGTTATGCCCGGATCGTCTTTGCCATCGTTTCGTTCTACTTCATGCCCTGTTGCCCCCTCACGGCCTCCTCCTTCTACTTGCTCAGCGGACTTCTGGACGCTTTCGATGGACACGCCGCTCGAGCCCTTAATCAAGGTGACAGACACCTCTTCCCAGCCAGCCTTGAGGCCCAGCAAGCCTCTGTCCCCCTTTTCTGCTTCCTGAGGACCTCAGGGCGGGCGGGTACTCGGGAACCAGGGGGCTCCGATATTCCCGATTTCTCTGTAGAAAGCAGAACAGAATGGCCTGGTTTTGTAGCAGAAGGGATTCTAGCTGGCTCTGGAGAAGGACTCACTGATAGGGTGTGGGGTAAGCAAGACTGGAAGTGGCAATGGCAGTGCTGGAGGTCTCTCTGAATAAAAATCCACTCAACAGGTGTTGTCTGGGGGGTCTGCTGGGTGCCAGGCACAAGGAATAGGGGTTCCGGAAGGGATGTTTAGAGGGAGAATGAAGAGGAATGATTTCATGAGGGTTGATTTTTTTTTTTTTTTTTTAATTCTGTTCTCCAAACCCACCAGCAAGACTTCCCCTAAGACTTGAAAGTCTGCTCGTCTTGAGTCCCGGACCCTTGGTTCTGGGATCGATGAGTTGTAGACCTAGATGTGCTCCAGTGTCTCCGCCTTTCACGCATGGTGATCTTTGCCCACTGACCTCATGCTCTACAGATAGCAGCAACCTGCCCCCACCCCCCGCCAGGCAGTAGGTGGTGACATTTTCAGGCTTCTTTTAGACTCGGCATCAGAATGACACACCAGCCCTGGTCCCTGTCATAGATAGATCCGCTGCCTCTGCTGGCCCCTTCCCACCTAACAGTCCCCATTTTTCAGGGACCCGGTTTGGGGCCATGCTGGACATGCTGACGGACCGCTGCTCCACCATGTGTCTGCTGGTCAACCTGGCCCTGCTGTACCCACGGGCCACCCTTCTCTTCCAGCTCAGCATGAGCTTGGATGTGGCCAGCCACTGGCTGCACCTCCACAGGTCTGCGATTCTGGGGGTGCTGGCCAGCTGGAGACACTAGAGTGGGGAGGGGTGAGGCTGTATGGGAGGGTGGCTGGGAAGGCTTCAGGGCTTCCTGGGAGGTCTCCCTTTCCAGCTCTCCTTTGTTGAAGGACCCTGGGCAAATCCTGTCGGTCAGTGCTCGGTCCTATTCACAGCTGAGTTAAGCCATCGCTAAAACTCTTCTGAGCGGAGAGCCTGAGAATTCCAAATAGATAACAGCTAGGGGCTTTGGAATGCAGCCTTCGAATCCTGACTCTGCTAGGTAATTACCAACTAGGTAATTGCGTCGTGGCTTTGGGCAAGCCCGTGGTCCTCAGCTGCGTCCCATTTCCTCCGTACGGCGGAGATGATCCCAGCCCCTACGTCACGGGGATCGATAGGAGGATTGGATGGGCGTTAGTGGTCACGAGTGCTCATGGACTCCCCTTGCTCTCTCCCCAAGTTCTGTGGTCCGAGGCAGTGAGAGTCACAAGCTGATCGACCTGTCGGGAAATCCTGTGCTTCGCATCTACTACACCTCCAGAGTGAGCATTTCCTGCCCCTCCCTTAATCCCTCAGCTCCTGCCAGGTCCAGCTCTCTCCTACCTTAGGGGCAGGGAGGGACAAACCTACCCAGAGTGTTCTCAGGTGTGGAGGGGAGAGACCTGTAAACTGAGGCAAGAAGGGGCGGGCAGGATTGGTGAGGAGGACTTTGCAGGCAGCAGATGGGCTGGAGGCCCCCAGGGCACCCAGAGAGGGGGAACCTGCCTGGGAGGGAAGGAGAGAGAAGCCAAATTGGCCTGTGGAGCCAGTTTTCAAGGAGTTTTAGGCTTGAGACTAAGTGTGAGCTTTATTCTGGAAGCAGAGGTCGTGTCTGAAAGGATTTTTTAAAAAAACGTTTATTTTTGGGGCGCCTGGGTGGCTTAGTCAGTTAAGCGTCCGACTTTCGCTTAGGTCATGATCTCGCGGTTCGTGGGTTCAAGCCCCGCGTCGGGCTCTGTGCTGACTGCCAGCTCAGAGCCTGGAGCCTGTTTCAGTCTGTGACTCCCGCTCTCTCTCTGACCCTCCCCTGCTCACGCTGTCTCTCTCTCTCTCCTAGAAATAAAAAAAAAAAAACAAAAACATTTATTTATTTTTGAGAGCGAGAGAGACAGAGCATGAGTGGGGGAGGGGCAGAGAGAGGGAGGCACAGAATCCAAAGCAGTGGGCTCCAGGCCCTGAGCAATCAGCATAGATCCGGATGTGGGGCTCGAACCCACAAACTATGAGCTCATGACCTGAGCTGAAGTCGGACGCTTAACTGACTGAGCCACCCAGGAGCCCCTGAAAGGATTTTTAAAGAGAGAAGCAATATGTTGAGATTGCTCTTTCCTCTCACCCTGGCCCCACCCCTGCGTTCCCATGTTCTGGGTATAGTTCTTTCCTCTGTAGATGGTTCTGGCTCCTTCCCTTAGCTGGGGGAAGGGCGGCACTCCCCTTGCTGAGTCAGCCATTCTACTGTTTGTGCAGCCTGCTCTGTTCATCCTGTGTGCTGGAAATGAGCTCTTCTACTGCCTTCTCTACCTGTTCAATTTCTCCGAGGGACCTTTAGGTAGGAGGCGACGGGCTGGGCAGCAGCGTGGTGGTGGGGGTCCTGGCCTGCCCCGGGGTGATGAAGGCCTGAAGGCCGCAAGCTCCCAGGCCTCTCCCTCACCTGCATCCCATCTTCTTTGTATCCCCCGTGCTCCTTTCTACAGTTGGCTCTGTGGGTCTTTTCCGAGTGGGCCTCTGGGTCACCGCCCCTATTGCGGTGCTCAAGTCTCTCATCAGTGTCGTCCACCTGATCACGGCTGCCCGCAACATGGCTGCCCTGGACGCCGCAGACCGTGCCAGGAAGAAGTGACCCCGGAGCCTTCAGCCCCTGGCTGCCCACCCGCCCTGGGAGTCTCGCCTGGCCGAGCAGCTCCCCTCTCACTCCCGCGAGGTTTCAGGCTCACGTCTTCCTAATGTGTTGTCCGGTCTGCTGGCAAGGGCGTCGGCCTCGCCGGTGATGCCATGTTCTCTGAAATCCTGAGGACCAGTTCCGCCAGTAGGATTCGCCAGGACCTGGACTTCAAATCAGGAAGGATGCTCCGGAGGCCCCGCGCATGCGGGCAGCGCTCCTAGGGCACCGAGAGACCTGAGGACCGGGCGTTGTCACACCTGCTGGCTCAGCCCTGGGGTCTGGCGTGGCCTGAGGCTTCAGAGACACCTGAATGAGGGAGATGGGGTTGGGGCTGGGCTTCGCAAAAGGCAGGGAGTCAGGCCTGTGCCCCTGGCCAGAGGAAGCCTGCTGTCCCACGGCCAGGAGAGCAGGGGCCCATTAGATCCTTTCCCATCCCAGCCTCCCGTGTCTGGTCTGTCCCGGCTCTGAAAACCTCTGTGATAAAGCGGGAGGGGGGACGTCACCCTCCAGGATTTGGTTTCCTTTGAGATCCAGTCGGACCAGGGCCAGGGTTGAGGGGAGTTTGGGCAAAAAGATCCTTCTCGATGCTGTCTCCTAGTTGCTTACCATCTGGCTCTGTCCTGTCGTTTCACAGTGACCTCAGACAGAGGCCCTCCCGGCCCCCCAAGCTCAGACCCCGTCTTTGCCCACCTGCTTTGCTTTCTTGATGACATCGTCACTAGCCGTCTACATTTATTTGTATACCTCATGTTTTCTGTCCCCACCAGAATGTAAACTCCCTGAGGGCACAGACTTCTCTTCTTCCTCCTCTATCCCCACAATGAAGATTAACCCGATTAACCTGAACCTGGCGTATCATAGCCCCTTAATAAATATTCACGAACCCATCAGTTGGTTTCCCAAGAGTGTGGTCTTTGGATCACCTGTGGATTCTTTCTTTAGCATTCAGCTGCTTGGACCCCGTG